TCTTCCTCCTCCTCCTCCTCCTCCTCCTCCTCCTCCTCCTCCTCCTCCTCCTCCTCTGACCTGCCAGCATTCAGCATGATGCGACGTAATGCTCAAACAAAGAGGTGTCCCTACAACCAATTACAACGCATCATGATAATCTCAGACAAATGCTTTCAAACCAAGTTCAAATCTCCCGCTCTGCGTTAGAAAAATAACACGAGGAGGCTAAAAAAGATCATATCAAAAGTGAGCAAAATCTAACAACGTTGGACCTTCATTGGATAATCCCTGTCAAGTTGTATTCTGCCATGATATAACCCTCTTGCGAAAGGAGATTCTGCCAAACTCGTGAGAATTTACTCACATCCACCCTCCCTGCGCTTTCCTCCTCTCTTCCTCTCCTCCTTCTCTCCCCTCTTTCTCTCCTCCTCTCCTCTCTTTCTCTCCTCGTTCTCTCCTCTCCTCCTCGTCCTCGCTCCTTGTGCTCTTTAATCTCCTTTGCATCTCACCTGGCGCTCCAAGAAGAACAAAATGCCAATCAAGAATATCATCTTCCATGGGCCTGAGAAAAATATCATTGTTTCCATCATCATCACATCGTTATTGTCATCCTCGTGTCATCATAATATCCAGCAGCAGCACCTGCACTGGTACCTGGACCTGGACCTGGACCTGGACCTGCACTCCATTCTCCTCCTCCTCCTCCTCCTCCTCCTCCTCCCCACCTACTGCTCGTCCTGCTCGTCCTACTCGTCATCTCTCCCTTCCAGTCCTGCTCCTTGCTCCTTGCTCCTCCTCTACATCGAGATCACAATGATCGCTTGTCTCACTTTGCACGGAAGAAATCAGGCGGGTCTTCTTGTAGCGCTGCAAGCTCGCTATGCACTCTTTTGATCGCAAGCGGACTCGGAGGACCTTGACTGCAACCAGGACACGTCAGAGAAGACAAGAACACATCAAACAACATGTTCAGAGTCAACACCACGGGATAGAATGTCATAGAGTGTATATGAAGTACACAGTACGAGTTTGATCGAAAGCGAAACATGAAGATAACAACATGCCAAGTTCACTTGATGAGTTTGAGTTCAAATGATGTTACAGCTCCTCTTGTCGCGTCGCACATCTCACCTGAACCCGTCATTCAGCTGGTCCAGACCTCCTCTAAGTCTCAGCGAGGAAGGTCTGTTCCTGTCCACTGATATCCTTCCACCGTATGCTAGCTCGACGCCCGAGATGCTGAGAGCAGCGAGAGGGAGTGAGGCAGAAGAGGAGAGGAGAGGAGAGGAGAGGAAAAAGAAGAAAGGGAGAAAGATGAGATGTGATGAGATGAGAGGAGAGGAGAGGAGAAAGAAGAAAGGGAGAAAGATGAGATGTGATGAGATGAGAGGAGAGGAACAAGAAGAAAGGGGAAAAGATGAGATGAGATGAGATGAGAGGAGAGGAACAACCAGAAAAGGGAAAAGAGGAGAGGAGAGGGAAAAGAAGAAAGGGGAAAAGATGAGATGAGATGAGATGAGATGAGATGAGATGAGAGGAGAGGAGAAGAACAACCAGAAAGGGGAAAAGAGGAGAGGAGAGGGAAAAGAAGAAAAGGGAAAAGAGGAGAGTAGTTCTCGTCAGAAAGATATTCGAATCTTGTCAATGAAAAATAAACCTCAAGGACCATATTTCCCCTGTACAACAGCAAAACATGACGACAAGGCTGAAGATCTTGACGGATTTCATCTCTTTCTTGTTGTCTTCTCTCCAAGATTCACATTATCTCCATGTTCATCTTCACATCGTCGTCATAAACTATCCCTTGCCATCGCCCGTTTCCCACTGGTCTTCGAACACTGAAGTTCCTCCCCAATGTTCACACCACCACATGCACATTTCTTTATCTCTCTCCCTCCCCCCCCTCCTCTCTCTCTCTCTTCCTCACTCGGCCACTGTCACGCTCCCTCCCCTCCCTCCCCTCCCTCTTTCCCTTCTCCTCCCCTGCGGCCCCCACCTGCATTTTTCCCTGCCCGCTCCGGGAATTTGTTTTTCCGCTTTTTGGTAGGAACAGGAACACGGGGGAAGGGAAGAGAGGGGAGAGGAGCAAGAGGGAGGGAGAGAGGGAGAGCAAGGGGTGCATGTCAGGGGAATGGAGGAGGCGATGGGAGAAGGGGACGAGAGTGGAGAGGGGAAGGGGTTGGGGACGGGAGAGGGGGAGAGGGGGGGGAAGGGGAGGGGAGGGGACGGGAAGGAGCAGAGATCTTGAGTCTTTATCAGGTTCAAACGATTATTCATGATGCATGCCGTTCAGTCAGCGACATAGCACGTAGAGGCACTTCGAACAATCTCCTCCGGTTCGCATGCACACATGCATATCCTGTAGATGAGGTCGAGGAGCGGGAAGCGACCAACAACCTGTTTGTCTCGTAGCATCTGCACACGGAAGGACAGCTCAACGCCGCTGCCCTTGTACAACCCTCCTCCTCTACCTTGTGCACATGCTCGATGGTCGACACTCCTTGTAGCTTCTGCCCTCCGAGCATGCTTGCTTCGAGCTGCTTCCAGTCTCGCGGTCCTCTCGCAAACTGTTCCGCGCACCTGGAAGGTGTCGTGAATGATTGGGATCTGCGCACGACACAATGATTACTTCCTGTTTCTCCCCCCGAAGCATGTCGTGATGAGGTCAGCAACGCCGCAAGATTCCAAGATAGTGTCTTTCTGACAGGTGTACCAAGGTTTTCAGAGATGTGGTAGAGAAGAAAGGAAGATGCTATTACCATCATCTCAGGGAAGAAAGTCTCCCCAAATCTCAACATCTCATGCATCCCAATGCGCATGATTGCCGCTTTTGTGTTTGTTCCATACCTGTTGTCACATGATTATGATGATGTTGACATGCACATCGGCGCACCCAAGTCCATCTACAAAACCTGCTCCCAGTGCTATGACATTCTTCAGCGTTCCAAAAATCTCAACGCCCACAGGGTCAGGAATGAGCCTTAGCTGTAAATGTTTCAGAAACCAATACCAATACGCTGCTTGCAACAGTGACATCGGAAGGACCTGAAAAGTCGGTTGCTCAAACAGCGTCTTGATGAGTTCCGCATTCCCCTTCGACCTGTATCCAATGGTTGCCTCACAGAAGTCTCCTGCATGTAACTTTAAGGCTCGTAAAGAACAATCTTACTCTTTGATCGCACCACGTGCAACCTCATCAGCAACGTTTGCTCCCATCAAGACAGAGATGTCACATCCTTCCAGCCCATCTGAGATCTGACAACACGTTGAGTTCTTCACCCCTTTGTCTTCTCCGTACCTGCTGCGAGATTCGAACTAAATTGCCATCCTTGTCTGTTGGACGGTCAGTACAACACCGAGAAAAAACGGTGGAAGGAGAGGAAAATATTTGCGGCGAGTTGCGGAAAGAAAGGATACACGTGCATTACCTGTCGCCATTCCTTTGATCAACGATACTGCAATCGCGTTGGAGCTCCTTGCTTGTTGGATGGTGGGAAGAAGTCTGAACAATACGTCAGCAGGTCTAATCTTGATCTGCAAGTTGTGCTGGTGACTTTGGAAGAAACTGGTGAGGGAGCGCGAAGACAAGGATCTGTGCATCAACATCAAATTTGCAAGCAGGTGTCGAGATCCATTTGACTGAGAACCCACAGTTGCTCCCGACGCTGCTTGTGCGAGATCTGGGACCGCGATCACATTGGATGGCAACTCGACACCTATTAGTAAACGATCACGACACCACGGATTGACATTGCAAGAGCAAGACCTGGGAGGTATTTCACATTTTCATGCCGCGTATTTATGATCTCAGTAAGTTTCTGTCCGTCAACAATCTCCTCGTACCTTTCTCGGCAAAATCATGCAACGAACCCCCGCCCTCAAAACTTACACCCACATCTTGACCGACCTGTCGAACCTGTCTCCAAGCCTCTCTGTGTTCTGCCCGATGATTCTTGCAACTGTACTGCCCCAGTTCCCAGACCCAACTACACACACACGCTCCACATCTGGTCTTTCGCCCACTCCACCCCTCAATCTTTCCCATCCATAAATCTGCCGCAACGTTCCCACATGCTCACGGATCAACCCACCAGCCAGCACTACCCGCCCTTGGACTGCAGCAACCTGAGATAGGGGAAGATGGCCGGCATGAGAGCACACTTGAAGTAGCGACATGGCAAGCAGAGGTATTTGCAACCTTTGATGAGGAAGACGCATGGAGGATTGCCGAAAGAGGCGGCAGGCTGATCTGGATGCAACAGACGATGGAGACGATGCCGTTAGAGACGAGGATGATGATGATGATGAAGATGATGCCAATGATGATGATGATGATGACGACGACGACGACGATGAGGGGCAGGATTGCGCGCCTGGCTGTCCCACAGCCATTTTGCTGGCCGTCTCAGGCATGATGCTTTACTCAAAGTTAAGTTAAAAATCAGTACGAGTTCATACATATAAAAGGGAGCCTGGCCCGCCTCCGATTTGGGGCTGCCAGACCCCGGGCCCGACTCCGGACCCGGCCGAGCGCTCCCGGGGATGGACCAGCGAACTAAAAAAACATCTCTCTCGGAATAGGCTTAACCAACATTACCACAAGTTTTACTCATCATCAGAGGACCGGTGGCATTATCGCCACCCCCGGTTAGTAGTGACAGCTCGACTACCCCTCTATCCCCTTAAAGTAGAGCTCATACGTTACCGTTGGGGTAGGGGCTGTAGCACCAACAAGTACAACAGGTGTATCCAATAAAACCCCTATCTCAGTACCCCACCTCTCTAGAGGTGTTTGCGGGAATCAGCAGGGTATTTACCTGGGTCTTTTTTGACTACCCTACCCTTGAGTGATCTACAGGATCGCCGGGTGGTCAGGGTCACCATGCTGAGGTACGCAATCACCGGGTTCAATATTGACGGAGTCCTGAACGTCCTGTTTACTACACGCTCTGAAGAACACTAGGGGTACTGATGTCCAGAAAAGTGTGGGTAGGGGTGGTAATTGCTATCCCGCCCTCTTCGCAATAGTCCTCGGAATCGGCGAGCAACTCAGGCAGTTATGTCCGTTACATCTGTTTACTACACATCTTCACCTTTGAACATGTCCGTTGGTTGACCGTTTTAGATCGTTACAAACCGTTCTTTCCTCTTCAACGGTTGCGAACGCTTCGCCCCCGTTTCGAAAGGAGGTTTTTTCGAGATATGGATAGAGATATACGACCTCCCTTCCTACCCCACCCCCTTCCTCATCTGTACCCTACCAGAAGAGGTCTGGTCGCCTTGCAATCCGGCCTGCACCCCACCCTTGGGCTGAAAGGGGCTACAATTATCCAGTCAATCACTAACTTCAAAATGTGATTCAATTCCCAGTTATGTCAAACAAAGTTTGGAATTTGATACAAATATTTAATGTGTCAATTTCTGGTTGTCCACCCAAATTTCCTGCACTTCCCGGACCCAACCCATCCCAGACCACCACCCCTCATTTGGACTTCCCACTGCCATGTACCCCTACGATCTTACCCTTAAGTCCTCTGACTCGCCGCAGCATGGACTGCTGTGCAATGGGGTATACCTTGAGAGTTTTATATTTCTCTTGAAGTAGAAAATGGTTATCATGATATCCTCTCCCTCCTACCATGATCTCCAAGATCAACTACCCCACCCCACAGCATCGTTTGTCTGGATCCTTCGGAGCTCTTTGCTGACTTTATGGACTTGGACTGGTACCCCACCCCTCAGATTGAGCGACGTTGGTATAACCCCACCCCCTGCCTCCATAATTTTCATGATTTAACACCCTACCTATCTTTTCCCATCCGTTTCCAGTATAAACAACCAGTACTCAGGATCGCCGCCTACTAGTCACGATACCGGATTTCTGCCCAAGGACCACCCCTACCCCCATACGTTGGCACTCCGCATACTCCACCCACCCCGCGGTCCCCTAATTGTAACTAAGCATAAGCCTAGCATGCTGCGAGGCTGCGACTGGTCGTTGGCCATGCTCTCCCCCCTTCCTGTAACTTGATTGCGTTCCATCATGGTCGATCACTTGTTCCGATACTTCTCTTCTCCACTTCTATACCTTCCAGCATGTCAGATTCAGCTCGATCTCCAAGTTTTCATCATACGTAGTCACGAGAACTTGTAGTGATAGACTGAGCAAGTCACGAGCTCTGGAGCATGTTTCTGCCGTCATATCCATTGCTCGTGCTTGTACTTTTGCAAACTGATTACCAAGTAATCGATTGTTCACAACCTCCCAATGCATGAACTCTGCTCCTTCGAGCTATTGTTTCTTGTTTCGTGTTCTTCGTAGACCATGACCTCATACCTTGTTCCAACCATGCTTCTCTGACCTGATTGCAGGCCCAGCCTTTGGACCACCAGCGATAAACACCTTTGTTGGGGTGCTTCAATTTGGTTGGGAACTATCATGCTCTATTGATTCAGGCACGCAAAACAAAAGGGTCAATTACTTATTGTTGGACTGCTGCCATACAACCTGGTGTTGTGCTATAAGGATTACTTGTATTTAACAGCTGATATGTCGTCCATACTGTTTTTCCCAAGCACACATCTCTGTGCCTTTACATGCTTTCTCGTCATTTTATTGACCAGCTTCAGTTGTCCTTGTCGAGCCGACGTTACACCCAGGTCGGACATTTACGTTGGAGTGATGCTGGCAGAGGCCTTCGAGATCGATCGACACGTCAAGAATTTCATCGAGGCCCTTGTTCTTGATATCAATAATGACGACAAGTTGCTTCCCAATCATACCATTCGGCTGATGTTTGCCGACCTGACAGTTCTTCGAATGATCAACCCGCATCCAAGTGGAAGGAGGAGAGAACACTCTCAGAAAGTTGTTGAGATGCAGAAACAATCTATCCTGCGGTCTTTCTCGATTCCGAAGCAGCGAAGCTTGTCAAAGGAGCAAGGCTGCGCGGCGCGTCAGTCTGAGTTCCCTATTGCGATCCTTGGGCCCCGATCTAGCGCGGACATATCGGTGTATGACCAGGTGCAACTTGCAAACGAATCGATCTCGATCAGCTTCAGTGCTACTGCTTCCTCCTTGTCGACAAGTCCTTTCATCGCCCGTGTTGTTCCTTCCGATCACTTCCAAGGAAAGTGCCTGGTGGACGCGATGTTGAGTTTGAATGTGCAGAGTGTCGATATCATCCAGTGTAGAGACAGCTACTGCCAGGGGTTGGCCAAGGATTTCCTGCATCATGCTCATCGCAAGATCAGGGCAATAGTGCATGAAAATTCCTTCAGAGACTATGAGGCAACAAAAGCTGCTCTGTCCCTCATCTCGAAACGCTGCGAGGGTTCGCGCGTGATCTTGCTCGCTATGCATGCGCAGCATGCTCAGGATATCTTGGATGCGGCAAGGGAGCTCAAGATAGTCGATGACTTCTTCTGGTTCGGCAGTGAGTCTGTCAGCACCCTTCCCATCGACGTCCTCCCTCGAGGATACATCGGCGTCCAGCTCAAGACGAGGATGAGGCGTCCCGAGCTGCTGGAGAAGGCGGAGAGGACATGGAAGTCCTTGGGAGGGGATACGTATCCTGGAAGGGAAGCTCTTCTTTCAGACGCAGTCTTCAGCTATGCCCATGATGCCGTGATGTCTCTGTCGTTCGCCTTGGACGCGATGGCTCGGTCGAGCTCGCCCTTGGATGCTCAGAGTCTCAAGCGGGAGCTGCGCAACGTTGCCTTCGAGGGTATTTCACAGGCCATCTCCTTCGACTCGAACTTGGACCTGCGATCTGTCAAGTGAGCAACTGCTTTCTGTGAAGCTTCTTGTCCTCAAAGATGCATCTTCGTGACTTGTATCTTGTGTTGCAAATCCGTTCTTGGCTCTTTCCTTTTTTCTTGCTCTTCTCTCTTCTCCTCCTTTCCTCCGCTCCGCTTCTCTTCCTCCATCTCGTCTACCCACATCATCCTGTTCCATTTTGCACTTGTTTGCTGGTCTTGCATCATTGACTCGGTCCAGCATCATTGACTTGGTGATTCAGGTATGACATAATCGCAAAGCTTGATTTCGAAGGCATCCTTCAAATCGCCGAATGGGGAGAGAACAACCAGGATCCTTTGTTCATCAACAACTCTCAGATCTTGGAGAGCTTCTCCATCTTCTATGATCGGATCGTCAGCTCGAAGTCATACTCAACATGTCCTGTGCTGAACATCCGCAACATGGTTGCCTTGGTCCTGATCGCAGCAGGAGTGACCTTGTACTTGATCCGATCGCTGGTCATCTACAATGATGGTGCAGACTCTTACTGGAAGATCAAAGAGAGCGAACTGGAGTTTGATGACCCTGTCAAGATTCTAGGACAAGGGACATTTGGTGAGGTAATTCGAGCAGAGTACAGAGGGACGACCGTGGCGGTGAAAGGAGCTCTTCCCAAGAAGCTCAAAGACGACGATTCTTCCCAGCACAGTGGACAGTCAGCATCATCCTCCTCCTCCGCCTGTGCCTCCAACTGCCCTCTCCCTCGCTTGCTGAGGAGAGACTCATCAATATGGGAGAGAATCTCGTCCAGCTTGTTCCTCCACGTCTCGTCCTCGTCGCCCCTGGAGCCAGATCCGATCTCCTCCTCTCGACTGCGAGCTCAGTTCCTGCAGGAGATGAAAGTTCTTTCCAAGCTGCGCCATCCCTGCATCACGACGATCATGGGCGCTGTCATCGAGGACGGGAAGGAGCCGCGGCTGGTCACGGAGCTCATGAACTTCGGCTCCCTCAACGACTTTCTACACAACGATACTCTCCTCATCGAGCCAGAGATCATCCTCAACATTCTCATCGACGTCTCTCGAGGTGTTACGTTCCTCCACTCCTCCCGCCCTCCCATTGTCCACGGAGACCTCAGGTCGCACAACGTGCTCGTGGACCACAACTTTCACGCCAAGGTCTCAGACTTTGGTCTCTCGCAGAAGCAGAAGCTCGGTTTCTGCTCCCCCCAGTGGCTCTCCCCCGAAGTGCTCCAGGGTCAGAAGAGGAGCACAGCCTCAGATGCGTACGCTTTCGGCATCCTGCTGTGCGAGGCGTACAGCAGGAGAGAGCCGTACGAGGGAGAGGACGTCACTGCTATCCTCCAGCAGGTGGCTGACACGAGCTTGCCCGTTCCGAAGCGCCCTCCTCATCCTGACGGGATGCCCAAGGAGGTCAAGGCGATCATGGAGGCATGCTGGGACAACTCGCCCGCTCTCCGTCCCCCCTTCTCCTCCATCTGCTCGCAGCTCAAGGCGCTTGACCTTAAGGACGAGTTTCTTAGTCCTATCCTTCGCTCTCGCCAGCGGGAGAAGTCCCTGAGGGAGGGAATGGACCGCACCAACGACCTGCTCTACGACGTGCTTCCCCGGCACATCGCAGACGCTCTCAAGGAAGGCAAGAAGGTCGAGCCCGAGCACAGGGAGATCGTCACCATCTTCTTCTCCGATATCGTCAACTTCACTCTCCTCAGCGCTTCCCTGCCTCCTGCCAAAGTCTCCGACATGCTCGACTCGCTCTACTCTCAGCTGGATGCCCTAGCGAAGCAGCACGGCGTCTTCAAGCTCGAGACCATCGGCGACGCCTACATGGCCGTGACCAACCTGGTGGAGAAGCAGGAGGATGAGCACGCAGTAAGGATGGCCGCCTTTGCCCTCGCAGCCATAGAAGCAGCGGCCTCTATCCCCTTGGACCGAGAGCGTCCGGAGGAAGGAAGCATCCAGCTTCGAGTTGGAATTCACTCAGGGCCAGTAGTGGCGAGTGTGGTAGGGCGACAGCGACCCAAGTACACGCTGTTTGGGGATACGGTCAACACAGCATCTAGGATGGAGTCGAACTCCTTTCCTGGTAGGATACAGTGCTCTCAGGTGAGCAAAACTGCTCTTTCCTCTATACCCTCTCCCCTTCCCCTACTTCGCTTTCCTCATTCTCCTCCCTCACCGCCTGTCGTAGTAGCGCCCTTCCCATTCCTTCCTGCGTCATCGCCGCGTTCTACTCCTTACCCTCCTTTCCTTCTTCGCTACACTCCTTCCTCTCCTCTTCCTCCACCTGCCTCTTCCTCTCCCCTCTCTCCTCTTTAATCTTCTCACTCTGACTTTTCTTCATCAGCGAACTGCTAGTTTGATCTCCGAGCAAATGAAACTCAACGAAGACTTCATGGGCTCCGTCCACCTTACTTCAAGGGGAGAGATCCCAGTCAAGGGGAAGGGCATGATGAAAACCTTCTGGGTCACTTCAGAGAAGTTCTGCTGCTCCTTTAAGGATCGGCCTCGCTCCTGCTCCTCCGAGAGCATGCAACCTCTCTCTCTCTCCCGCGCTCAGGACGAAGTGCCGGTTTCTTCCTAATCTCCTTCCTCCCTCCTCCTCCCTCCCTCCCTCCGCTCTCTTGTATACATAAGGTTTGCAGCATTTGTACATACCATCGCATTCATTACAAACTTTTTCCTTGTGTCCTCTTTGCATCTCCTCAGACATGCTTCTGCCGCACTCCCTCCCTCACATACACATCGCAACCCTCGTCCCTCACGCTCGCATCCTCGGCTTGTACCTCTCAGGCTTGATCCTCTTCCTCGTTGACAGGCACTTCACATCAGTTTCCTCCCTCCTCCTCACCTTCTCCACCCTCCTCCTCTTCTCCCTCTTCTCTCCACAACCCCAGCACACCCACCTTCCTCTCGGAATCTCCGCTAGCTTCGGCCGGAGGCATTCCAAGTGAAAACCGCAGTCGCACTCGTCGCACAAGATCATTCGTTCCTCCCCGTCTTGCCGCCCGCACACGTTGCAAGCCACGTCGTCCCAAGGGTCGGTGGAGCTGCTGGCAGGGGAGGAGGGGCACGAGGAGGAAGTTGAAGGGGAGGGAGAGGAGGGAGCAACCGACGCGGCTATGCGCTGCTTTAGAGCGCTCCTGCATCCACGGTCGTCCAGCCCGAGATCGAGGCAGACACACCGGAGGGTGTCAACTTTGAGCTTCTGCATGAGGAGGAGGAGAGGGCATTTTTCTGCCTGACAGGCATGCGGGTTTGGCTTCCTGGCCTGCTCGAGGATGGAGGAGACGAGTTTGGTCTTGGTGGAAGGAGCAAGTCCGAGGTCTCCCGCAATGAGGCACAGACTTCTCTTGCTCAGCGATTGAAGCTGATCATCTCTCTCGTCTGCCCATGGGAGTTTGACGCAGGAGAGCATCTTCATCCCTGCTCCCACCTGCTCGTCCCCGTTGGCCTGCTGAGAGCATGAGAGTGCCCTGCCGTCCTTATCCTCGCACTGCTTGCCAGTCAGACTGAGGAAGTTGGGGAACGAGCCTCTTCGAAACATCCACGACTTGTACGCCTTCGGGATCATCCAGACATCGCCAGCAATGTTCCTCCTCGTCTTCTTCCCACTCCATCCCTCACCGCAGCATGACACGGGGTGCTTTCCGCCCCCGAGAGCCTCGCCAAGCTGCTGCAGCTGCTCCCTGCTAGCCCTCGGTCCAATAACAATCTTCTTTCCTCCGCATGCTCTCCCCCCCCGAGAGAAGAAGAAGGGAGTCTCCATCCTCTCCTTCACTGTGATGCAGACTGGGATCTTGACCCCGAGGTTGGCCAGGATGCCCCCCTGGCCCGGTAGCACCCGAGCAGGAGCATTACCTTGCTTGAGCCGCATTGCCATCATGATCGAGCTGTCAAGATCCTTGACGTCGTCCGACGGGCCAGTGAAGTGCCTGTACGCGACAGATGCTGACGTCATCACGTCCTCTCCTGCCTTCGCGTACTTTGCCAGCGCGCCGACGCGGATAAATCCCATCCTGATGACCAGGATCAGAGACGCGGCGAGTTGCATCGAAGGACATAGCGACTCTGTAATGTAACCAAACAGATGGAAAGTTATGATGATGATGATGATGATGATGATGATGATGATGATGATGATGATGATGATGATGATGATGATGATGATGATGATGATGATGATGATGATGATGATGATGATGATGATAGTGATTATTTCATTGTGATTGTGCCAGACCATCAAGCAGCAAGAAATGTAAACAGTGAGATACAGCAAGCAATCATTGCTCAAAGAACACCAAAGGCATCCATGCAAAACAATGGATGTTTCCTCACCTATCATAGAACCCTGCCGACGACTCTGTCGCTTGCACGACAACGTAGTCGTACAGATCTCTTGCCTTCATGTCTTCCAAGACAAGTTGAAGAAGAAATCCCCCGCATTCTAACCCGCTCATGACGGAAATCTCTCCAACTCGAGGCCAGATAACGCCCTACAACGCGAGTTGAGACGGGAATAAGGAGATCAGACAGTTAACACCTCTCCAAGCGGATCTCCAGATCGATGTTGAGCCTCCAGCTCGGCAGAAAGTTCGCCGCTCTTGTCCCATCTTACCAGGAGAGTCAGACGCGGTGGAGAATGGGAGCGAAAGGGGGAGAAGGCGGTGGGTGGTTTGGGAAGGAGGAGAGCAGAGCAGAGCAGAGCAGAGCAGAGCAGAGCAGAGCAGAGCAGAGCAGAGCAGAGCAGAGCAGAGCAGAGCAGAGCAGAGCAGAGCAGAGCAGAGCAGAGCAGAGCAGAGCAGAGCAGAGCAGAGAAAGGGAGGAAAGAGGAGGACAGGAGGGAAATGTTGACAAGGATATAACGCCTTACCTGATCCCGTGCTTGTTCGATCCTTTCAAACCGGCTCGTGAAGCAGTGCTGTCCCACTTGAACCAGTGCGTCCACCTGAAAGAAAGAGAGCGAGGAGGCCAGGGAGGGAGCCGGTATCCAAAGAGCAGGAGATGACCATGACAAAGACAGGAGAGAACGGCCAAAACAAGACAGTCCACAGGAGGAGGAGGAGGAGAGGAGGAGAGGAAGAAGAGGAGGAGGATTCTGAAGTCAGGTTCTCGGGCCCAACAGCAAGACAATCGTTCTCACGTCGTAAACGTTGTGTACCAGATGAAGCCTTGCAGCCGATGTCTCTCGTCTTCGGTACGGATGAGAAACCCACGGATAGGATCGTCTGCGAGATAAAGTGAGGACAAAATCCTCCGGCTCCTCCTGCACTCCTCAACCTGTGTCAAGTCTATCCTGCAAGAAAGACAGGCTGATTCTCTCTGCCTCTGCATGCTCGTGGTGTATCCCATGGAACGCGCCTGCCATGTATCGACGACATCACAACCATACAAGTCGCACCACCAACACCAACAAGAAGACCTGTCTTGTTTCCCCTCCGATCCGCCGCCTCGTGGCAAAGAGCCCAGAGCTCGTCGATGATGCTTTCCCACTGATCTCTCTCCATCGCAAGGTGCACCACACTCCCCTGTCTCTCTTCTCAGCACCTTTACAAGCTTCACCTCCCCTCTCCTCCCACCTCTATCCCCTCAGACGAGATGCGGCAGTTGCCAACTTCTCCCATGGAGTAGTGCAGCTTCGGCAGCTTGGAATGAGCGTCGTGGATGTACAAGCTCGGAGCCATCGCGATGACGACGTGCCGATAAAGACAGCAGGAGCTCACAGTCTTCACCGGTAACGACAAGCCATCAATCCTCTGGTCTCCTACTTCCAACGCCCTGCAGGAGGCAGTGTTATGATCAGTACATGGCGCGTAAAACCAATGAAAACTTTATGCCATATCGTGTGTTGATGTGTTTGGTCTTTCTACACTCATTGCTACCATCCTATCTCCATAGAAACACTTCTGCCAGATGTAACTGCCCATGGGCCGCAACAGACACGATTTCCTGGCCGTTGCGCAACCAATCAGGTGAATGCTTAACTCTAGCATCATTCACTCGAGATTTTGTTTGATTGCAAACAGGTTTCGTAACAGATCTGAAAGAACTTCGATGGGGGCCAACCGCAATCAGTACACTACAATGACAAGATGCATTGCTATCTTCGTGGAAGAGAAACTTTCATAGTTAGGGAGGAAGAGTTGAAGTGACACATGTAAACATCGCAAACAACTCCCTAGTTCGATTCAGCAACACCATTTCGAAGGACTTATCCAGCACACCGGCTGTTGCGCCCATGTACGCAAATCTGGTTAATCCTGCCGCGCAGAAAACAAGGATGGCCACGACATGGAAGATTGAGCTCGTGCAACCTTGTCAGTTGAGACATCATCTACACTGATCGGATCGAAAGTATCTCTTCTCCTCTTCCTCCTCCTCACTCTCCCCCCTGCCGCCGCCGCCTCCTCCCCACTAACCCTCCTCTGTTCCCGCCATGCCGTATTGTAACCGAGGGAAACTACCCTACCTTGCGTCTGACCGCTGAGATGGGAAAAGAGGGGGGTAGGGGTGTCCACTTTCCTTTTGTTTTAGAGCTCCAAATGGTGGGTGAGGGTGGTCATTTGAACCAAGAGGGAGGGTAGGGGTTAATCAAGATCCGGTAATCTGATGCAATTTTACATAGTTAAGGGGTAGGGTACAAGACCCAAAATATGGACCCCACAGGGGTCCAGATAAATTGTAAGGGTGGGGGTAGTCGACGGGCGGTAGGAATGCAGGAATACAGGGCATGGTGGGAGGAGGGGCAGGGAGAGGAAGGAAGAGGAGGAGGACGATGAAGGACATCAGAGGACGATGTGGACTGTTAGACCTGGTGAGGGGAGGAACTAGGTATGGAAGCAGGGATGAAGGGGGATGGCGAGGGGGGGGAGGGAGAGGAGGAGAGCGAGAATGAATGGGGGCGATGGTGTTGCAAAGTCGACGAGTCGAAATCAAAGGAGGGAGGGAATGATCTGAATATTCAACAGGAAAGGAAGTTGCTCAACGACAGACAATCCTTGACATCTCTTGGTGGGCTGCACCAGAATGTTGCCTTGAGTTGTCCTCGTCCAGATAACCGGGGCGTATCAACTCAACTCAAATCCAGATCGATCAGAGAATGTCAGTGGCGTCAAGTGTTCGGATGCCTGACAAGACGCTGGAGAGCAGGCACGCGGAAGAAAACCATATCTGGTGCTGTCGTCGACATGTTCGCAAGGCTTCTCTTACTTGACTTGATAGGGTTGTCGAACGCGGCGCAACTGCCACTACCAACAA